ACACACACACACACACACACACACACACACACACACACACACACACACACCCCTCCTCCCACAACACCAGTACCGCCGGGCTTTGCCCCGTAAATTGACTATTCTGTACGCCTCCAACTCCGACTGCTGCTGGCCTGCCCTCAGCGCGGCTAAACCACAGCGCCTGCCGAGCGAGGGCGTCGCCATGCACCCACCCACCCACCGTCCCCGTCTTGAAAAAAAAGTCGACCAGGGCTAGTAGACCGCCTGGAGAGCCACGGCGCCCACCCACACCCACACCCACACCCACGCCCCCCCTCGCATGCTGCACACACGACACTGAACCCCGCCGTGGAGCCCAGCTGAGTCGCACTGCAAAGAGTCCCACTGCGGCCTAGTCGCACTACCGCACTACCGCCCTCTGCCATGATGGCTGCCCGCGTCGTCGTTTCCCTTACCCTGCTGTCTGTCTCGACAAGCCGGCCGTCGTCTACCTGCTAGCTGCACGGATGCCCCGTCGCGCGCTGCGCCATGATACATGGTCCGCCGTGCTCGTCTACCCTCCCTGTCCTGTGATTTGGTCATCGCAAGCCTTCCTTTTCGCTTTCTGCACCCATGTCTTGCCGTGATCGTGCCAGCCGTGCCACTGGCCCTAGTCGTCACAGCGCTCCCTCACCGAGCCATCCCTTGGTGCTTGGTGGCTCCGTATAGTCAATACACACCCGTTCCCTGCCTGCATCTATCCCACTATTACTTGTTCTTGACTTTGGCTAGTCTAGCCCTGGCACTCCTTGCACCATGACTTTTGCCGCGACCTCACGCTGTTCCAATTTCCCCATCCACCCTTCCGCATCTGTCTATATCTCTTGGCACTCCATATACCTATGCAGATGTCCCCCTCCCCCCTTCGCTTCACACTAGAAGAACCGTCATCAGCGCTCACACACACATATACAACTCGTCTGGACACATCAACACTGACACTCACCATCCCCTCTCCCCCCCGTACATGCCGACTTCCTTTCCATCCTACCATCTCGACACCATGTCCGGCCAAATGCAGCCAGCACAACTACACCGACGCACCTCTCGTGGTTCGGCCAGCCAATCAGGATGCCGTTCGTCACGCATTGAAAAGACAAAGAGCCACCACAGCAGCCCAAAGGCCATGGAGAGGCGCAAGACTACTTCCGAGACCAAGCTATATGCTACCCTCGACGACCACTACCGAATGATGTTTGGCGTAGAGCCAGAAGAGGAGGAGCGTCCCCAATCAACCCGACCCGTGAGCTGGCATCCTGCGTCGTCACAGATGCAGACTGCACAACAAACAAACTACTTTGACCCTATGCCAAGTCAACACTGGCAGCAAAACTACTCGCCATCACGAGACTCGTGCCATGGTTCCGACTACTACTCGCTCTCTGCCCGCAACTCGATGCTCGAGCCCCGGACTAGTGCTCCATCAGAGTATGGTTGGCAAAGCATGCCCCAGCCCACTCCCGGCTACGTCAACTCGTGTGTCAACACGCCTACCTCGGAGCCTCTTCCATGGTACCTGCAGCAATGGGCACAGAAGAACCAAGCACAAAATACTGCCTCTGCCCAGCAGCAAGACCAGGACATGGACGACGACGAAGATGAGGGCGAGAAGCTTGTTGCCCTTGGCCTATACGATGCCCCGGAACCATCACTAAGCTGGGGTGCGCTCACCGAGGGTACCGGAAAAGGCCTCAAGCTCGAGGAGACTTGGCAACCGCCCGAGGAAGACGAGGATGACCAAGATGATGACGATGACGCAAGCTCAGAAGGCAGTGTCGAGGAGCCGTCGCCGCCTCTGCCCCCTGTCCATGAACAGGCACAGAACATGGCAGTCCATGTCAAGTCTCAAACACCCAGCAGCATGGAAGGCCAGAGCTTCTTCTTCGACGACGACGAGACCGTATCCAAGGAGTGGTGGTTTCAACAAGTCAAACAACCCTCTATGCCAGTGCGGGACGCTGGACTAGGATATGGGTGGTTGTAAGGGTTGGTCACAGCTTTACATTATTGTATATTTTTAGCCTTGTACCTTTTTTTTGGTCTTTAGCCACAGCACGGCGTTTTTTTGGTTTGTTTTCTGCAATGGCCCCCAGTTGGGGAGCCAAAAAAGAGGACTATATTAGACAAGCAGCGAGAGCGAGCGAAAGAGATACCCCAGCCTTCACAGGCAAAGAGAGCCAGTCTTTGCATCATCGCTCACACCGAGGTCAGATGGAGAGGAAATGCATGTATAGTAGTAGTAGATAGTTAGCAGTCAGTAGTATAGTAGAAGAAGAAGAAGGAAGGCATGACTGGCAGCCAATCAAACACAATGAGAGACACATAACAAATACTGGGTTCATCTTCCAATGACATGACGAGGGTGACTACTTACTATGGCAGGAGCAGGAGCAGGCAGCAGGCAGCCAACCACGGGGGGAGGCGCCCTCAACACTATGCCCCGGCACCACCACCACCACCACCACCACCACTACAACCACCATGTGCTTGAATATCGAATGTCGCTCACTTGCCCTGCTCATTACTCAGTCATGTCATCCATCGTCGCCCGTCAAAGCATCGGCCTGGGTCGTGCCATGGCGCAAGCTTCTTCCACGCTTCTAGCCACGCTTGCTCAAACCTTGGGAAACCCTACATGGTGGAACAGGACGACTAGCTTGCGGCATGCGCCGAGGCCAGGGTTGGCCGTCTCTCCCTCTGTCCCAAAACCCACGTCGAGCCCGGCGACCCAGCAAATGGCGCGTCGGCGACATGGGCCCGCATCCTCCGGGCCCATTTCCCTTCAGGTCCCAGGCCAGGCTTGCGCAAATTGATCCAACAAGGCGATTGTGTCACACTGGCCGGCAAAGGCCCGATGACTGCCATCATCATCCCGTCCCCTCAGCCTCATCCGCCAAAGCACTGACGGAACTGCCATCACTAATCAACGCCTAACTGACAACTAACCGACGGCCCAGCTATCCCCCCCCCTCTGACTGACTGACTGACTTGTCCGACCTCATGCCGCCCCTTGGCCCGTCCACCAATGTGCCGCCAAACGGGGACCCATCTGCATCTTTCCCCCATCCATCGCCCAACCTCGGCGAGACCCGCCATAGTTGCCTCGTCCCAACTTTTCTTACCACGCCGCCCATGTCTACCACGCTCGGACGCTACTCACGTAGCGCCCAATAGCCTTTCACACAACAAAGGTTCCAGAGTATGGGGTGCCAGATTGCCTTTTGCCCCGGCTTTAACTGCCACTCTCTTACCTCATTGGTGCGATGCTCCACCTGCGCTAATCGTCTCCAGTCCAATCCACGACGGTTTCTTTTTATTTCTTTTTATTTCCCAATCGTTTCGCATCCGACGCGTTCTCACGTGCCCTCTTGCTTGGACACGCAAATCAGCCACTCCACTGGCAGGGGTCCCCACTGCCCTAGACACCCAAACCCTCTCTTTTCTGTTGCATGCCCTGAGGCTCGGGCGTCTTAGAACAAAATAACTCCGTTTGTGTGCATGTGTGTCCATGGACTCGAATAATAGTCCTCGCTTTGTTGTGACGGCGTGGCGCAATGGCCAGGAATTGCTTCAGCTACGCCACGACTTCTACAGCTCTGAGACGCTTAGAAGAGAAAAGGCTGTCAACAAGGTGAGCCGACCTTTGTCGGTCTGGTCGTCTAAGAAGCATAGTTCCAGACCGACGCAAGGCAAGAAGCAGTAAGCTGATGGCGGCTAGGTTTTTGCGTGGCGTCTGCGTAAGCCAGATGCTCTACCTTTGCTGCTAGAGTCGACGGCAGATATTGTTGATGTCATCCTCCAAAATGGGAGGGGCGGCCTGCAGCACAATGCCCTGCGGCTGTTGTATGCAACAGCACTATCAAGGTAGGTTTCTCAACCGGCGGTCAATGTTGCCAAATGTGATTGATCCTTGTCCGGTATCGAGGTACCTATTACAGAAAATGCTTTGGGACCAATACCCTTGTCTGTATCATTCACATGCTTCGTCTTGCTTCACACCCAGACCCAAGCATTGGGGAATCGAGACAAACACAAAACATAGACAGGCCTCCGTCTAACAAGTGCATAGATTCGTAACCGGCCTAGCAGATACCCAGATCGACTTGACGCGTGACCGCCCCTCGTGGTTCCCCGCTGGAAAGTCGCTCCAACTACCCCTCTCCCTGCTGGAAACACGGCACCGCATCGTCCATCGGCACTTACCATCGCTTGCAGAGCTGAAGCGCGCTGCCGCAGACTCACTCGAGTGGCTGTGGGAGTGGTACTGGCGGCAATTGGATTATGCCTTTGAGACTGGCGGCGACGGCGAGGCTGAGGATGAGTTTGGGTTAGAAACCAGAGCGGCAGTCAAGGAGAAACTGCAAGCCGTCTTGAAGTCGTACGTTAAAGAGAGGAAAAATGAGATTAAGCAACGACGACAAGACAACAAGGCAGCCCAAACAGCCTTGTCAACGTACACCTTGCATTTCTCCGCCAACACGCCAACACAACGTATTCTGCTTGGCCTCCTTGTAGACGAAAAAATGATTCTGCCCACGGACAAGAAGCTAGGCTCCTCCATGTCCGGCGCCTTTCTCATCTGGACCCCTTTACTTACGGCCTTTTGCACTTCATCTACACTCTCCATCAATGCCCTCATTACTCGCCTCCTCGACCAACTCTTCGCATTCAAGGTAAATAGCCATCATACTTCTGTTGCCGACTCCGACGACCCTATCAAAGAAGCAATGTACACCTGGCTCTGCCACATGCTCACCTCATCCGACTGGGCCCCCGCAAGACGCGTTGCTGTGTCAGCCGAAAAAATGCAAGAAGACGTTCTTGTGCAGATTTTCTCAGCCCCATGTTTCTGGGGCTTGAAACTCGCAGAGGCCTTGTTGGATAAGGGTCACCTGGCTAGTGCTGAGTCCTGGCGTGCTGTTTTGCTTGCTGCGAGGGGTGAGGGCGGAGTAGAGGAGGATGATATGGATGTTGATATTGATGTTGATGTTGAGGCTGAGGTTGAGAATATAACGGCGGCGTTGCCTGTTCGAGGTGTGGGAGATGGGATGCAAGGAAAGATTCAGGGGCCAGTCAAGGTGTTGGGGATGTGGAAGAGTAGGCCGATTGGCTGGGTGGCTGAGGGCTGGGAGGATGATGAGTAGATTTTCTCCTCCATATTGAAGGACTTGATAGAGGTGTTTTTTTTTGGTATAAAAGTGGTTTTTTTTGTATAGAAGCGATATAAAAAGTTTGGGTTGGCCATATGGAAATATTTAGAGTATGAATACCCCCCCCCCCTTTTTTTTGACTTTTTTTCCTGCATCGATATCTTGTCTTCGAATATACATACGCATATGAACATTTATGCTCTTTTCATATCAAATATCAGAGTCTAACACCGCATATACACGCTATCCATACTTTCTTTGACCTTTCCAATTCCACGTTGACAAAAAAAAAGGGGGGAGGGGGGAAACTCGAGAGCATAAAAGGTTCAAAAGATGGTAATAACATGTATTATTACAGGGTAGTAAAAAAGGGTAAGAATTACATCTTCGCCTTGACATCAGCTGGTAAGATACGATCTTCGACCATGCGCATGAGCTTGATAGTTTGTTCCGCCAGGGTGAGTGTGAGAATCTAAAAAAAAAACTGTCAGTGCAATTCCCTTCCACAGAAAAGAACAGAGGAGGAGGAGGAGGAAGGGAAAAAACATACCGTATGCGGCAATATCCTTGCCAAATGAGCAAAATATCCCTTATACAACGCCAGCACACCCTCCGTCCTCACCGTCCTAGCCAAACAATCAAACGCACTCGTGTACAAATTGCCCGTTTGATTATACATGCGCGACATGATTGTGTCTGGTGGATGCATAACGCAGCAAACCACAAACCCACTGGCGGTACTACTCGCTATATGCAGCGGCATACCCTCCTGCATACCCAAATGCTTAACCAAGCGTCTCTTTGCAAAAAAGTACGTCGGAAGCTGGACTGAGCTGCCAAATCCCGTTCGGACCATGGCGGGGCCCACACCGCGGTATAGTCCTTTTATGCCCTCTGAAGAATAGATTTGGCGCATGCCGTCTAGCGCGTTGCGGTAGTGGTGTTGGGTGCCGACGGGGAGGAAGGGCGAGTAGGATTGGAGGCGGGTTTTTACGAGGAAGAAGGGGGAGCCGGCGGCGGCGCCGAGGATACCGGATGAGGCGCCTGCGAAGAGGTTTATGGAGAAGGATTGCAGGGTGGGGTCGTGGTAGAGGGTGTTTGTGAGGGTTTTGCGGATGGGTTCGTAGAAGCCGAGGCGGCAGCCGTTGAGGGTCATTTGGTAGATGTACTATTTTCTCAACTTATCAATGTCTTTTTTTTGCTTGGGGTTTTTTTTGGAAAACGTACTGCACATCCTAACCCGCGTAATAGGCCTCGAGGCCCTTCATTCTTGAGAATAACGCTGACGCCGTGGAAGACTCCCCGGTATAACCGCGGCGCATCGCTCTTTGCCTTTAGCTCGCCTTGTAGTTGTAGTCTGGGCGAAAGCGGTCAACCAGCCTATTCGCTTTTCGGGATATTTTTTTGAAGGCCAAGCCATTGGGAAGAGAGTGATTGTTTTGCGCACCGGATCTTGACTGTTTCGAAGCCGTGCGTCACTGTCACGGCTCCGCATGCTGCTATGCCGCCGGCTATGAAGGAGCTGGAAACGGTAGACATTAGTTCCGTGGTTTCTTGTTGATCAATAGAGAATAGCTTACCCAAGGGTTGTAGACATGCTGCGCCTTTTATGCGACTGAGCGCTCTGACTTGGAGGTTCCGAACAGGTGTATCGCCGTTTGAGGTCCTACGACAAAGTCGCCGTCTACCGTTTCGTATGTGTGTCGCCGTTTACCGGATGTTTGTCAATTTCAAGGGGAAAAGGAGTGTAGGGCTCGGAGTCAAGACCGTGGGAAAGTCAGAAAAAATTGAGAGGTGTTGTAGTGTACAGATGGCAAATGCAGGGCGTAGTAATTGTGAATAAACTCTCGGGGGTCCGGTTTCGGCTCAAGGCTGGTTGACGCCGTGACCCACTTTCTACCTCGCACCGCATTCTCATGCGCGCATTCCGCCGGCTCTAGCTCAGTCCCACGGTCGCGTCGCGTCAACCCTTACGCCTACGGAATTGCTACTCTACGCATATGGACATGTAAAGGAGATATCGAGCTAAAGATTTACGAGCTCCTCCCTACCCAAGCACTGCAATGGCTGGGCTAGCAACGCCCGGCGGAGGACCTCCTCCACCGCCTGCAGGCCCGCCGACACAAAAAGTGAGCGACGTCATAACGAGCTTCCGGCCTCAAAGAGTAAGAGGTCCCTTTAGCACCCATGACACCTTGCGCTCGCATATTCACAATGTCTATAGCGCTTCAAATCCGGCGGCCACGGCACGTCCATCACCTCGCTCGACTTTGACGACTCGGGCGAACTCGCCATTGTAGCCCGCGACGATGACACACTGCAAATCTACAACTGTAAAGAAGGCAAGCATGCAAAAGAGCTCAAGAGCCAAAAGTACGGCGTCCACCTTGCGCGCTTCAGTCACCACGCCCAGAGCATCATCTACGCCAGCACAAAGGTCGACGATACCATCCGCTTCCTCTCCACCCACGATAACTCGTATATACGCTATTTCAAGGGCCACACCGACACCGTTACGTCGATTGCCCTGTGCCCGTCCAAAGACGACTTCATCAGCTGTTCGCGGGACAATACGGTGCGCTTGTGGAACCTACAGTCGCCAAATTACGTTGGCCTGCTCAATCTACATGCGCCCTACCTCGCTGCCTACGACCCGTCGGCGACCGTCATTGCCATCGCTTCGCCGCCGACGCAATCTATCCTCCTCTATGACATGCGCAACTACGACAAGCCGCCATTCGCCACGTTTGACCTGCTGGAGTACGAGCAGCGCTTCATGGGAGGACAAAAGGTGGACTGGACAAAGATGGAGTTTAGCAATGACGGCAAGAGTCTAGTCGTAGCCACCAATGGTAGCGGCCACTTTGTCCTCGATGCCTTCTCCGGCGATATCTCGCACTTTTGTTACCGCAAAGCTGGATCCTCAGGGCGCCTACCGCCCGCGTCGTCCGTCACCAATGTCAGTGGCGCTGCACGTAACGGGGACACGCCTGCAAACGGCCAAGGCGATGTGTGTCTCACTCCAGACGGTCAGTTCTTGATTGGAGGCAGTGGAGAAGACGGCCTGCTGGTATGGGATATATCCAAGCCTCCTGCGCCCAATAACATCTTAGAACCAATGGAGAAGCTTCCGGGTCAGGGCAAGGGTGCTGTTGTCGGGTATAACCCTAGGACGAATCTGCTCGCGAGTGCAGATAAAGATTTGTATCTCTGGCAGCCGGATGCCGATTTGATGATTTGAGGAGGGTTTTGGGAAGCCTTGGGTGCTACATTGGTCATGGGTATTGATGGGAATAAGAAAAACAGTCTGGACAAGAAAGGCCGGACCTGAGCGAGAAGGGGGATGTGCCAAATAAAGTGTAATTCGAGCAATCTAACCCAAGGCCATTATGGTCTTGGAAAACAGGTAGACGGACACGATGGGAAGCAGTCCTCGGTCCGAATTGCGTCAAGTCCGCGGTGGATGGTGTTGCCGGGTGAGCAGTTGGCAAAATGGGACTCTACGAAGAAGAAGGTCACGCTCAAAGAGCATAGCAATGCAACCAAACTTGCAAGTACATAGACACAAATACAGTGGAAATGTTTTCCAGATATCCGGCCACGTGACGAATGCGAACCAGAGCGCCAAGCAGGGCACGGGCTGGTGATTCCCTCCAGGCGACCTCTCGCTTGAGACTGTCTGCTTGCCATTGATCGATTTGCAGATCTGACAGAGAGCCCAAGGCGAGCGAATGGCCAACCCTGCCACGGACATGAACTTTGCAGCAACCCCCGAATCGAGCCGGACCAAAGTGAATCAGTCGATGAGGGGCGCCTTGTGCTCCACAAAGTTGCTTTTCTGACGCTCACCCCGCACCAGGATGGATTGTGGCGCTGAGCCTCGCACACAAGTCATCTGCGTTGAGTGAGCACAGATGGTGACGAGGTGCGGTGCTTGGGTTGCTTTGCATTTAGGCCCAGCACAGTGGGCCATGTTGCAGACATGGCCGAGTGTGTGTCCTTTGCACCACGGCATGCCGAGATTGGACATATGAATGACAGCAGCGAGCATGGGGTTGGCTGACAAGACAGGGTGCAGACACAGCGTAGAGGCAGGATACGACGGCTCACGGCGGACTGTGAAACCATCGTATACAGGACCGACGCGTCGCCCATGTCGAGGGCCACAGAGCCATGGTCGAGGCTCTGGAGGGTTTGTGCTACTTTACGCATCCAAGTACGAGCGGCAGCTGAAGAGGCAGCCAACAAGCAGCGCAACCCCAGGATTGCTTAGGTCGCTGGCGCCCGCAGACCCCGGCCGAGGGCGAGGATCAAAACTGGGCCAGTCGCCGTGCTTGCACCTGGAGCCGTGAGTTTGCCGTCGACGGGCCCGCTGTCATCTGGCTCGCCCTGGCCAGGATAGCCCGGATGCGTGGTGAGAGACTGACGACATGTCTGCTGAGCTCGTGAGTGCGACGATGAAGAAACGAAGCAGTGGTTGGTTGTTGTCGGAGAGCGAAAGCAGGTCGCGATGGGCTCTGGGGTGGCGAAGGACCACGCCCAAGGACCCCCTGGACCCTTAAGCCGAGCCCCATGGCAGTGCTGGAGGCCTTCTCCGCCCATGACATTGTCGCAAACGCCTCTTCCCACAAGCAAGCACAGAGAGGGGGATCCATGACGGCCCCCCGTCTAGATGCAGCAGCCTCACCTTTTGGCCAGCAGAGTTTTCACGGCGCCCGTCGAGGAAAAGAAGCACCGTCCAGTCAGACGGGCGACTTGTCGACGGCACTACTGGCGCACACCTACTGGGGTTCTCCGCATCTTGCCCATAGCGCTGGGTCATTCGCGCCTTGCCTCGTCAACTAACTAGCCATATCACCACGCCCCTCTTCTTCTGCCACTCCCCGACTCCTCCCTGACGGCTTACCCTGCCTCGACTTCTCGACTCTTCTACGCCTCAGACCCTTTCTTGGTATCCCGAATTGAAACCTGTTCGCTGTTCAAAACCGTGTCATCTGTGCGGGCCATGTCCGACTCTCCGCCCTGAACATGGTCTCGTGACATGCTTCCATCTCGACACTGGTGCGTGCGGTCCACAGAGCCAGGCTTAGCTTCGCCTATTCACTAGCACTGTATTGGTTTTACGTTTACTCCTGTGGCCTCGTTCCGTGCCCGTCAACCAAACTACACATACACTCTCACCATCCACACCCGCTCCACCCGAGAATGCCAATTTGTCTGCTCAGCTACTCCTTACCCAAGATCGTGCATGAGTTTGGGTAGCGGAGGATGTTGCGAGCCGGTACCGAGAGCACACGATCAACATTGAACCAGCACCCTGGAACTGTCTGGACCATCAACAGTTCCGCCACGTTACCATTCATCTTGCTTCCGCCGCCAGCCATGAAGCTCACCTTTCTGCCTCGGCCGCCGATATCCGCTTCGAGGAAGCGTAGCCGAGCTGTGGCTGATGTCGACGGAGAACATTCATGTGTGCAGAAAAAGAAACGCCGACTTCGATTATTTCTTATTACATCACGACTATCTCCACAGTTTTCACATCCAGCAACTAACATTGTCGACCGAGGCAGCTCAAAGATTGCAGTATGGGCCAAGCAAAAGGCCCTGGGACGGAACTTGCTCCCCAAAGCCGCCATCTTGAACGGTATACGGAGACGAAACATCCTCATGAGGGACTCGTCTGGACTCAGTGCCCGAGTGTCGATTGTTCAGGAAAAGGAAAAGGCTCAGCTTGAACTGGCTCGTTTAGAATTTACTCACGGAAGCGTCGACACATATACTCATCCAGTCCTACTACAGGATCCATCAGTCCCACCCAGTGCCGCCATACGGTCTGGCAACCGCTTTGTCATGTCTGGATCACCCACCAGTTCTCCAAATTCGTCAAGAAGCCCTTCACCCACGTCACACGGCTCACCGACGTCGGGTCCTAATGAGACAGCATCGTTCCGCTCACCAAACGAAGCATGGGTCTTGACTTCACCCCCAACCAAAGGGCATTCGCTGCATAGAGACTACCATCCCCTACCACCGTCTCCGCTAGGTGTATCAAACTACGATGCTTTTGATGCGGAGGAAGATGAAGTGGACCTCTATGCCCATTTAGATGATGAAGGACCCCTGCCAAGTCCATTTGATGAGGAAGATGACGATGAGGTTGTCCCGTTCTCTCCCGCTGCTGTCACCACCAATGTGTCTACGACAATACCAACCAGTACGGCGCATGACATTAGCATGTACTCGGACTACACCATGCCAGACTATGGCCATATCGACATGGACGCCAACTCACCATGGCTAAACACATATCCAACTTCTCATTCCGTATCTAAGCGGACAGACTCGTTTGCAACATCGCCCAACTTCCGCCCTTGCATACCGAAAAAGTCGATATCACCAGAGATGTGTGCAGTAACGCCGACGACGTCTGTCTCGCCAAACTTTGCGCCATCAATCCCAATATCACCGAACATGGCGCCTATGGCAACATCGCCCAATTTCGTTTCTACAATGGGACCGCCGGTCATGTTTCCCGAGTTTCCGTCATTGGCGGGTGGAAACTCTACTGCAGACTTTCCGCCATCATTGACGTCACCACGAGGGTCATGGGCGAAGAAGGTAAGTTCGACTGAGGAATAAATGATTTTGACCTCTGATAGTTTATTTTGTCGCTGTTCAAAAAATGAAAATAAAAAGGTGAATCCTATCAGGCATTATAGGGTGACGGGGCAAACATGTAATTGTATTCATCTTGCACAGGAGCATTTGGGGGAAAAAAAGGACCAAAACTTCAAGGGAATATAGGAAGGGGGGGATTGACATGGGAGGGAAACTGTAATTTTCCGGCGCAATGGGAGGGGTGAATTGGTATTGTGGGTGGCCAATAGTGTGTATGCATTTTTTCTATTCTGTACATGTAAGATATGTGTATAAGTAAGGCATATCCTGGTGTTTTGCTGAGGGAGGGATTGGGGGGGAAAGAACAATTCAAGTTAAAATTTCAAAGTTCATGATCAAAAATGAACCTTGTGGTTTTTTTGTTAATTCTTCGATTCCCCCTATTCTGGGTAATTTTTCCCCTCTTTTTTTTTAATCTTATGACCGTTCTACAACGAAAGTGTTTTTTTATTGCAACTTGGCCGCACGATCAAGCGCAATGTCGCACATGGCCTGGATAGCTTCTTGCCGCTCGGCCGCGATATCGGCGCGCGCAATGCGATCACGCATGTTTTGCATGATTTCCGGGCGTGAGCGGCCGTTTACGAAGACGCTGTTTTGTTTTTTTTGCATTTAGTTACCATCTTTGTTCCCTCGGGAACCGCACATTGGGTGAATTTATAGGAGAAAAAAAAAGAGAGGAATGGGATAAAGCTTACACATATCTCAAGCCCGGAAACACAGCCTCATACTCCTCATTCAACACCTTTAGTTCCTCGCCCTCGCCTGCCAAATTCGCCTGCTCAGCCCTACTCTGCTCGCTTTCTACTTTCTTCGCGCCCAGCCGCGGATGCGCGCTTAATATGTCTTGTAGGCGCTGTGCGTCGTCCGGGGTGGACGAGGCGGCTAGAGCGCGCAGTTGGGTTCCGATGGCGGTGATGAGGATGGCGTAGGAAGGGAAGGTTGTGCTGCGCAGGACGGGGAGGGTGAGGATGTGCAGGGCGGGGCTGGGTTCGAAGAGGAGGTCGAGGGTTGTGGTCAGGGTTGAGTCGGGGGAGTGGGGGAGGGAGGAGATTGGAGGGAGGGATGGGGACATTTTTTTGGTGGGTTTTGGGGTTGGAACTTTGTGGGGGTTGGATTTGTTGCTTTTTTTCTTCTTCCTTTTCTTTGGGTTGGAGATGGGGTAGGGTGAGGTTGCTTTTGCGGTGATTGGAGTATGAGGCTGGATGGAGGGGTGGGAGGGGTGGCACGCTGGGCGTAGTGGACCGGGGATTCAAAGGTATGACGTCTTGTGGGTTTGGGTTTCTGGTTCAAGTGTTGTGGTAGAAGCGTGGATGGATAGCTGAGAAGGAAAGACGTTCAATTGTTTTTCCTTCGTCGTTGGTTTTAAGACTATTTTTTTCATGCTCCCTTCGGCACGGCCGCTGCCGTCCGATCAGCGATGCGGTGATGAATGCATGCTGCAAGGGCAGCGAGATGGTCACTGGTCTTGAAGATGCAAATGGGTGGGTCGTCTTGGTGCGGGGCAGATGGGATTGCGATAGTGGCACGACACTTGTTTGGGTCTTGGACAGACGGTGGCTGGCTAGCTTTGTGCTGGCTTCGATGCCCTTTGGACGCGCATCGTGTTTCTGGTGGTAGAGATCAAGGTGAGATATTCGGCGTGTATATACACTACTTACGATGATGTCGTCATGTAGCTGGCAGATTTCTACGGCTGAGAGGGTCATGCATGGAAGAACAAAACAACTCTCAAAGTCTAGAAATACCAGGTTTCAAGGAATAGCCATGATGAGGCAGCGATCTCCCGTTGTGACCAGGTGCAGGATGTGTAAAACGGCGGGTTGCTTCTTTTCCGTCCTCCCATGTGTGCCGTTGGCGAAAAGCAATTGCGCAATCTGGGGCAGCAACGGCCATAAATACCCCAACCATGACGTGACAAAAAACAATCATATCTCATGCGGTGCCTGGCTGTGACTCTGCGTGCCTCAGGAACACTGATGGAGCTGTGCCGTGTTCCTGCGTCGGGTGGAGAGAGAGACGGGGGGGAGTCTATCAATGCAGGCCCCATTGCCACATGGGCGGCACGAGGTGGTCATGGTAAGATGGTACCCTAAGCATAGCGCAGACACGCAGACACGCAGGTACCACAGCTCTCATGCTCCAAGCCGTCAAAGGGCCGTTTTATTTGTGTACTCTAGGCATGCAAACACATTGTTTTGCTTTGTCGGTGAATAGTTGGGGTCGGCAAAGCTGCGGGCTAGGGGCGTCTCCAGGGCTGCGCGCCGGTTTACCCCTGTGTGCTTGTGTGCCTGAAACGCGGCGTCTCCACGTTTGGCCGTCCATTTGGCCTTGACTTGCGAACTCGCGTCCCCTTTGCAGTTGCCGGGTGCTGCTCAGCGCATTATTACCAAAGCTACGCATATGGCCGTTTGTACTTGTACATGCGCACAATACCTACATACTCGACTGTTGCTGAAGCCCTCGCCTTGCCTCAGTGACCATCACCACTACACACTCTGTCTCTCCCACTCTCTCTCTTTCTCTCCCCCCCCCATGGCCCGTGCCGTGCGCCTCTGAGACCCTTTGCTCTCTCTGTCTCTCTCCTCTCGTATTTCTCCAATTGCGGACCCCGACAAGGTTGACCCCTGTCCAGCTTTGACCTCCTGGATATCTTGATTGCCCGTCGTCGAACGACGAGCGGCGACGAAAAAAGAAAGCCGCCTCTTTCGCTCTGAATACGCACGGCTTTGGAGAGAGCCTGTCCCCACACGCCCGGCCCTCTCTCTCTCTGCTCCACGGCTATCATCATGTCGCTCAACGGGCTCGACAATGTAGAAGTCACACAGGCGTACCAGGGCGCCCTCGCCGAGGCTGGTGGTTGGTACGACTCTCTTGCTGCTTCTCGCCTGCTTGTTTGCGCGCGCAATCTGCTGACATTTGGCCGTATAGGTTCCTGTTGAGATACACGTCGAGGGACTCTGTCGAGGTCCTCAAGCGGGGCACTGGCGGAGCAGGAGAGGCGCGCGCTGCCGTCGCTCAGTACGAGGACAAGTCACCGCTATATGGCCTCCTGCTCTACCGTCGGCGCAAGGTCTTGGTCAAATATGTGCCTGATGGCACTTCGCGCCTGCTGCAAGGTAGGCCGCAATGCTGACTTTGCTGCATGGATTGCTGCTGACTGCCCATCTGTAGCACGTGTCGCTGTCCACTTCATAAACATCTCGGAGAAGTTTGCGCCTCACGATATTGTCCTGTCCATCTCCACCCCAGAGGAACTTAGTGATGCCGCCCTCGCATCAGCATGCAGTCTGCACACCGCCGCCCCTTCGAGCTCCTCATCCAGCGGGTCGTCGCGCGGGCCAAAACTTAGTTGGATCCAGGAAACTGCCGAAGAGACATGTCAGCCAGACTCAACTGAAAAGTTGGCGGCGTCGGAAACGGCGGATACCAGTATACCCACCATAATGGAGCCGTCGAGAAGTAGTACTGAGGAAGACCCCACACGGTGTGCCTCTCTTACCTCGCAAACCGAGTCTGTTCCCTTGATACTGGAGGAAAAGGTTGTTGGCCATAAGATTGTACCGCACATCTCTCATGTCACCGTTGAGACAGTGACTGAGCCACCAAAGACACCGGAGAACACTGATCTGTCAGACCTGCAAGACACGTTCAAGAACTACGACTCGCTGTTTGAAGGCGGACCCGAGCCGCGAAGCTCGTCTCAGACGACGCGGCCAGACTACAACGAGCTTTATGAGCACTACTACGCGCAGTACACCAAGCCCAAGGTCAAACTGGGCCCACGGCCACGCCAGTCACTCGAAGGAAAGCGCCCGGCCACGTCAGGGAACACGTCACAAGACATGGCAAGACAGGTGGCATCGCTCCCCGCGGGGCTGCGCTCTGCGGCGCGAAAGGCGGCCCAGAAGAAGGAGTCCAAAACTGCCTCGTCCAGCGCTGTTCCCGCCATTGCGGTTCCTCCACCACTCGATTTACCTCCGATGCCCGAGGTGCCACACTCGCCTGTTTCGTCGCTATACACGCCACGCTCGCCGATTAGTGTCAAGTCTATGCCTGTTGCTGCGTATAAGAGCCACCTTCGAGCTACGGGAACCACGCAAGAGCGGACGAGGCTGATGAAGGCCCTGGAGCTGCGCAAGAAGCAGCAGCAGGCTCAGCAGGCGAAGAAGGATAAGGCGGTCGACGAGTCGACTGTAGATACTGAGGATCCAGAAGGAGGTGAAGAGGCGGCAGACTCGGCAGAAACGACTCCTACCGAACATGGCGAGGAGCCCGAGGCAAACAAAGAGACATTGCTTGGTGACAATCTGCCCACTTCGCAAGGCCCAAGCAATTCTGGGCTCGTCTTTGCAGACAACCCAACGGAGGGAGACGACCTAAACTCGACTGTGTCGATATCATCTCCCATCTCCGCCCAAACCCACGGTTCGTCTGGCGCACCATCAACGCGGCCGTCGTCCCTGTCCGAAGATGAGAGCGGACTAGTAGACGACCCACAAAAGCGCCAGGGTACGCTAGAGTCCCAAGCTCCTGATCCCTTTGACGAAGAACAATCCGTCGACAGTACACCAACCGTGGTCGCTGACAGCACCACCCCCCCTCCACCCACCGACGCCTACAACGAACCCACGCAGGGTCCGCTAATCACCCAACGGGCGCCTTCTTTCGACGACGATGCAGACAGCAGCAGCAGGAGGAACACGCTGAGGCCTGCCGAGGACGACACCCACGCCCGCCGCCGCTCGAACCGGGAGTCGACCATATACATGCCCTCAGATGCGGCAGCGCAGCTAGAACAGGGACCAGCGACAAAGCGCCAAAGAGAATCTATGCTGTTACCCGCTGGCTCAAAGAGGGACAGCTGGTTCGAATCCAAGGGGAAGCGCCGTGCACAGCTCGACCCACTCCACGTCAGTGCGGAAAACTCCGAAACCGAATATCTGTCCGACGACTCCTTCATGGAAGAGTTGCAGAGCGCTACAGTACATGAAGCCAAGCCTATGTCTGTGTCCAAGTCGCCCATCATGCCCTTCTTCCCACGCAAGTCACCGTCCCAAGCTGAGCTGTCGACACCCCCCAGGTCAGCATCGTCAAACTACCCTACTAGTCTTACGCGTCCCTCCCCCGAACAACAGCCTGCTCGCAAGGTATCTGGCGGCTGGCCGCCGCCACCACGGTCCGACACGTCGTCGGCTCCCAAGAAGATTAATGTTTCGTCTGGCATCTCACAAAGAATCAAGGCTCTTGCCGAAAAGACCAACAGGGAGTCGGCTTCTGTGAACCCTGCAGCCGCCACCCTGAGTGCGCCGAGTTCGTCTGTTGCCCAACGCAAGTCTTCTTTCTTTGCATCCTCGCCTCTTGACACATCGCCCAATGGATTGTCTGCCTCTCGCAATGGAAACACCTTGATCCGGCCGTCGTCTTCTGCCTCGATGATTGACAGGAAACCGTCGGGCCCAATCAAGTCAACCGTATACAACGTGCAACAGGGGCCCGAGAAGCCAGAGTCTGTTCAGGTTACTGCACGAATTGTTCGTGATGAGCGAACAATGAACCCCACCCTAGCCATGCCTACCGAGAGCACGCCGCTGGAACTCCACCAGAGCCCCCTGATTATTGACCACCAAATAGCCACTCCCGCACCCAAGAGCCCCCCTCAGCCGCCGAAACCGGAGACACCGGCCTCTCGAGACACTTCGTCATCACACTCTCGGGACCACAGTCTGGCACCCTCGCGGACGTCTTCGGAGAGCACATGGAGGACATTTGGTCGCCGGATGAGTGAGTCGAGGTCTGTTCACAGCCATGATGGCGACGAGAAGAAGGAAGACAAGAAGGAAAAGAAGGAGTCGCGCACGACCAAGATGTTCAAGCGCATGTCTTCATCCATGTCTTCCATGCCCTGGAAGAGCTCGAGCAGCAGCCTGACACTTCCGGAGAACGACATGCGGTCGACATCGTTGTCGTCTCTTCGCGAGCCACCGCCTCCCATGCACGTTGGTGACTTGAATGTTCAATTTCCCGACACTTTGGTAAGTTGATTGTGTATACAAAGTTCTGATCGCCTGCTAACCTTGCACCAGCTCTGGAAGCGAAGATGGGTCGAGATCGATTCCATGGGCAACCTTGTCCTCAGCCCGTCCAAGCACAACGAGAAGGGAATCGTCAAGCGTTTCCACCTCAGCGACTTCCGCGCCCCATACCCTCCAGACCAGGACCGACAAGAGCTGCCCAACAGCGTTGTCTTGGACTTTGTTGATGGCCGAACGCTGCAGTGCGCGTGCGAGACACACACAGCGCAAGCCCAGGTTCTGCAAAGTAAGTTTATTGAAGTTTAATGATGCATGAAACATGCTGACAGCACATAGTCCTCCGTGAAGCGCACGATGCTTGGCTAGCATACAACCAGGCGCAGTAGAGCCCTTGCCCTACAGCACCTACACCCTCATTAGACTTTCTTTTACTCTCTCTCAGCCACCTGGATGTAGTAGCCAGCGACTCCTTATTCTCTTTGTCACGACGTACGACTACAGCATCAAGCACCACCCTTCTTTCCTTGTGTTGGATATAAAATGGTTCTACACTGGGGCTGTGTCATTTTCCTTGCCTAGTTTCTTCTTCTTTCTCTTCTCTTAGCACATTTTGTAGAGTTTTTTTTTCCTTTGCATACCCGTTTAGCGTTTGGGGGGAAAGTCCAGGGGGAGGCCATAGGGCAGGCTTGGAGCATCACCATCATCACCATTGTCACTACCAGCAATGCCGTCTTGTTTTCTCTTCTTCTCCCGTTTCTGGCACAAGGGGATCAATTTGTATAATATTTAATGCTGCACTGGAAGGCAGACTGGCAGATAGCTGCTGGTACTTTTCAGTCCAGGGCGGCACATATAGTCTGAGACGGCTAGAATGCAAGAGAGCATTAGTCCTCTTTTGAGCGGCTGTGCAGCTGGTGTGCTTTGGAGTGCCATGTGATTATTGCGTTACCATGTGCTTGCTTGTCGGGTGGCGGCGGGCTGGGCGTGGGTTGGCGGGGCTGGTCGGCCAGGGTGGAGTAAGCGAGGCGAGTGCCTGGCGTCGTCATACAAGCATCGTGCATTTGATGGATGCGAACATGTGCCAGGACAAGAGGGCAGCAATGGGTCATGATGCTCTGCGCAATAGGGCCTACTCTTGCCCCCTGGCTCTCTCCCACCTGCACTGCGCTGCTCTGCTCCTCGTGCTCTCTGTCTACACACACCTGCTATAGTCTGCGCTCCAAGACACCCAAGAGCCGCCGACATCTATCGAAACGCGCCCCGTAAACTCCGCACTCCGCATGCACATGTCCAGGAACCGCTGTCACAACCTCTCCTACACACACGCACACCACTCCTCGGCCTCGGGTCCCGCTGCCACAGCGCATCCTGCAGCGACCACGCGTCAATCGAGCAAATAGCCCTCCCGTTTAGGCTACCACATCCACTATCCCACCGTGCCTCAGCCTGCCAACCGTACAAATAAGCAACTCTGTCACCCGCTTGGGGCCCTCCTCGAACCATGCCGACGTCTTCGTCTGTCCACCCGTTTGCCTCTCCCAACGCCATCCCGCCCCGCACGAGCTCCACGGGCATCCTGAACCCTAGCCCCGGCAGCCCCAAGCAGCCACCCTCGAGAACATCGGTCCTGCGCCCCTTGAGCGAGATTGACTGGCTGGGCCAGAGCAAGAAAAGCAAGACAAGCCACTCTGCCGAGCCGCTGAACGCCCATCTACAAGAGCAGCAGACCGCGCCCCACTTGGCCTCCAACAAGTCCCCGTCGGCCACCGACGACATCGACTCCCACATGGACACCACGACCACAAACCACGATGTCGGCGCAAACTACCCTACCCCACTGTCTCCGCCCTCGGAACACTCCAAGGGCATAGGCGAGGAGCTCATCTACGGAAATGGCGTCGGGTGGACAGAGGAGAAGGAGCGCATATTACTAGGGCCATACGACTACTTGTACGGACATCCGGGCAAAGATATCCGCAGCCAATGCATAGCTGCCTTCAACCTGTGGCTCAAAGTGCCGCCGGAAAGACTCGACATCATTACAAAAGTGGTGGGAATGTTGCATACCTCGAGTTTGCTGTGTGTATCTTCACCAACGTACTCTTCGACTTGACCGCTGACTGTTACTCCTTTCCTCCAGTGTCGATGATGTAGAAGATTCGTCTGTCCTCCGCCGCGGTATTCCCGTCGCTCACGCAATATTCGGCACGCCCCAGACCATCAATTCGGCCAACTACGTCTACTTCCGTGCCCTCGCCCTCCTGCTCTCCATGAACAACCCCAAACTCATCGAGATATTCACCGAGGAGTTATTGAATCTGCACCGCGGCCAGGGCATGGATCTCTACTGGCGAGACAGCCTGACCTGCCCCAGCGAAGCAGACTACCTAGAAATGGTCGGCAACAAGACAGGCGGCCTCTTCCGCCTAGCCATCAAACTCATGCAAGCAGAGTCGCAAACAGAAATGTACTGTCACCTCCCCTCCCCCCTTGTTATTATTCCTGATGACTAACAATCCAAACAGCGACTGCACTCCCCTCGTCTCAACCATCGGCCTCCTCTTCCAAATCCTAGACGACCACCTCAACCTCTCCCCTACCTCCGGCTACACCTCCCTCAAGGGCCTCTGCGAAGACCTCACAGAAGGCAAATTCAGCTTCCCCGTCATCCACGCCATTCGCGCAGACCCCTCCAATACTATTCTTATCAATATCCTCAAGCAGAAGACGACGGATGAGGAGGTGAAGAAGTATGCGCTCAGGTATATGGAGAGCAAGGGCAGTTTTGAGTATAGCAAGAGTGTGGTGGCGGAACTGAGGGCAAAGGTTGAGGACCATGTGCAGAGGATTGAGAGGGTACTTGGAGAGGAAGGGAGGGAAGGAGCCGAGGCATTGAGGGTTATGCTAGGGAGGTTGGTATTGAGGTGAGGGAATACCTTTTTGCGAATTTTTCAGGCGGAGGGGGGGATGATGGATGAATCTTGTTTACGGCCTTGGAATAGTCTTGAGACGAAAATGGTATACCCAGATTTTTTCAATACAATTGTCATGTTCTTTTAAGAGTAAATAATTCTGTTTTTTTCTTAATCTGGTATTTCTTGTATTGAGCTATGAAATAAGAAAAACTTACTCCTTGTTCCATGCTCGTAGAATGAATCTGTGAAGAAAATAGGTGATACCATGTGCCAAACGCCAGTATCCTAATGCAGACGCTGTCGCTCCCAGAATTCCAAATATCAATGTGATTCCTTTCCCTTGCAAACTCCAAATTCCAAACTCATTGTCTCGGCTCCAAAACAATACACTCAAGACTTGACCTTCTTCGCCATCTTGTTCTTTGGCTTTTTCAGAACCATATCCCGATGCTCATCCAAGCACTTTGCAAGTTCAGCCTTGAACTGCTCCGCCTTTTCCTTAGGCGTAAGTACCGACTCGTCCGAGTTGCACGACACCCAAGAATCCGACAAGGCCGTCTCATCCAACGTCACAACATCGAGAGCTGCACCGTGCTTGCCTTTTGCCGCGCTAACAGCTTCCAGCCAGGGAAACGCATCGCGATAAAATTGGTCTGCTGCGCGGCGCGGAGAGCAGTATTTGTTAATGTGCACATGGACAACCAACGAGGTGAGATTGGTGGCCCAGGCGAGGGCGGCAAAGCATGCGTTGTTGTAGACTTTCAATCCGCGGCTGTGGAGCCAGCCTAGAACCCGGAGCTTCTTGAGGCGCTGGGCACGCGCAGGCCCAAGGTTGATGAGGAAGCTGTAAAGTGCGAAGCTGTCGGCGAAGGTAAGTTGGTTGCCGTACAAAATGTCGATGCCCTCGCTGTAGATTTGCTTGTTCACGGCGAGTAGTGATGGCACAAGAGGGGCGTAGTTTCCATCGGCATCGAGAACGTCTTCGACTACGCGTTTAGAGGTTGGGCTGTCGTATCTGCCGCCGCTTGACGGGTATTTTGTTGACACGCGGGTGGCCACGCGGCGCTTTTTATGGTACGTACCGACAAATTTGATGCCGGATGGATCGCAGAGCGTATAGTTATAGATAGTATTCCTGATCTCCGCAGGAAGGTCCAAGAACGGAAAGATCTTTCGCTTTGGAAGTGGTTTGGTTGTTTGGGCTTTGGGCTTCTGGTAAAGCTCCGTTAGTATAGGCCACCCTCGTGCACGCAGCAGTGCATCGCACCTTTGCTTGAGGGCTCTCAAACTCAGACTCTGTGTCTGAGTATTCCAGATCGTCAAGATGGTATGAGACTTGCGTCCTCTTACGCTTCGAGTAGCGACCAGACGCAAACGTCTCTGCAGAAGCTATGGCGGCAGACATGATGGGTTGAGTGGAGTTTCTAAACCAATTAGTTCGAGAGAAGTTGAGATGCAATTGAGTGTAGTTGAAAATGGAAATGCGCCTCTGTGTTGCTTTAATAGAATCACTGTGGTGAGTATCGCAAAGTCAAGCGTAGTTTACTTTGGGACTAGTGTAGGCTGCAATGCGGAAATGCAGGGATTAGCAAGGCATCAACTCGACGGCGCAGGCATCGCCTGGTAATATCGGTAGAGGTGGAGATTGTACAGCCTTGCCAAAGCTTTACATGTAAGCGATTGACGGTTGGTGGCAAGCCTTGACGTAGAGGTGGGGAAAGAGAGAGTGAGAGAAGGGAAGGTCGAGTCCCAATGGCGTCACTCCGCGCGCTTAGTCAAGCACCCCACTAACCGTAATGAGAGGGCAAATTATCATTCACCATCACCCGCAAAATGTCTTCAATACGATCGCTCACGTCTTTTAAGCTCGACTTACCTCCCAGCTGTATCGAATTCTTTCCGCTCAACCCGCAGTATGCAGTAGTCGGCACTTACAATCTTGAAAAGTCCGATGAGAAGGATGCCGCAGGGAGCGCTCCCCAGGATGGAAAAGTCAGTGCCAAAAATCAGCAGCGCAACGGCAGCTTGATATTGGTGAAGGTAGACGGCGACAACGTGTATGTAGAGCATGGTTATTCTCAGTTTTCAAGCTCACGTAGTGATATTCACGTGCTGACTCCCGAAGCAACATTATTCAGACTCTGGCCACGCCATCAGCCATCCTAGACATTCACTTCTTGACGCATGTCACAAGTTCAAACTTTGGTGTTGCAACTTCAACAGGAGCCTTCGCCATCTACGAGCTCCAGTCGTGGCAGCGCAACCCTAGCATCAGCCACATCAAGACCATCCAGTATTTCCCTGAAGATGTACTCATCACTGCCTTTTCATGGCACCCAGAGTCATTTATGGTCGGTATGACGCTCTCAAATGGGCAGGTTTGTCTTGGTGTAATCGACACGGAAAGCGAAGATGACTCCCCCACTAAGCTAGAGGTTGCTACACATGACTTGGAAGCGTGGACTCTGGCGTTCCTTCCTGATGGCTCCGGGCTACTCTCTGGAGGTGACGATAGCACGCTGCGTTTTGCTGAGCTTTCTGATGGCTCTGGAGGTAGTGTGCCTTGGATGGATGGAAAGATCCACGGTGCGGGTGTTACTGCTATTCTTCCCGTACACTTGGATACCCAGGGCCTGCTCGTTATTACTGGTAGCTACGACGACCACTTAAGACTTGTCCACATCCCAATTTCCGGACGCAGGCAAGTTCTTGCAGAGACCAATCTCGGAGGTGGAGTTTGGCGGCTCAAGCTGCTTGATCGGAACCCGAAGCTGCCAGAGCATCACGGTGTGGAGAAGTGGAGGTCGGAGCCACCTCCTGAGGCTATCCTCTTGCTTGTCAGCTGCATGCATGCTGGTACGAGGATTGTCAGGCTCACAAAGAGTGCTGGAGAGTGGAAAATTGAGGTATTGGCGAAATTTGAGGAGCACGAGAGCATGAACTACGGTAGTGACTCCCAACCCGGGCTAAATACCCAAGGTCAGCGGACATACATATCCACGAGCTTCTACGATCGTTTGCTGTGCTTGTGGAGATACTAGATAGATAGTACATGAATTTATGCAATCAGACTTCAAAACAAAGGGTGGTAAATAAAGTTCCTGATAAAATTGCCATGCAGACTAAACTAAGAAAAACATGAAGAAAAACAAGATATTAATCATGCTTGATGATTTAACTGTCACAATCAGTCCCAGTAAGGTCAACACCTTTCCAATCAATATTGTCTATGGTGAAATCACAAACACCAGCGAAGTCTTGCTCCATGCCATTTTGGCCCAACTCCCCCACCTTGGCACCATCGCCCTTGACACTACCCGTGTCGACATTTTGAAGAAGAGAAGAATCGGGGATGTGACCTTCCTCATTTGTGAAACGGGTGTTTCCGGTGAGAATTGTGTCGTGAGTGTTGGATTGCGTTCTTGCCTCTTCGTCGATCCATGTCTGGGGAACCGCCAACTGTCCGAAGGAAGAGGCAGGAATCTGGCTTGGGCCCGACACATAGGGCTGGGCCTCCGCTTGTTGCGGAATTTGCTGCGCGAGCGTAGGTTGGAGTTGGGTGAGGAGGGGGAGGGAGAGGGAGCGGTATACTTCTGGGATTGGCGGTACCATTTCGACAGCACCGCTTTCGTAGACTCGAACGTGTTCGCGAGAGAAATCCATCGTCGTCGTCGGAACCGCTTGGTACCCAAAATCGTTGGGCCCGTTCTCGACAACAGCCAGCTTGTTGAGCTGGTATGCTGAATATGTGACCTCATGTGGGGTCATGTGGTCGCCGAGGTTGCTGAAGCCAACTTGTTGTGGCATGACAAGTTGGAAAATTGGAGCTCCGTTGCCGTAGAGCTCTTCAATCGTCATCGGCCAGATTGGATGGCCGCTTGATGGGTATGGCACCCACACGACGCCGAAAGGCAGTAGCTGCTCCTCTGCAGAAACTCCTTGTCGCGTCCAACTCGAACCGTTGGGCACAATTCTCATGTGGCTACCGCTTTTGGTGCGGTAGTGACCGGGGGCAGGCTGATGGTTGGTGTTTTTCAGGAGGGCCTGATAGGCCTCGAACTCTTCACTAAGGAGCTTGGCCTTCTCCAGCTCCGCCTGCTGCTGGTTCTTGTGCGCGATCGTTTGGTTCTTCATCTTGGAGTATTTGGAGACCATTTTGAAAAGCTTGTAAAGGGGTGCTTCACTTGGTCTTCGGTTGGTGGTGTTGGTATGAAAGGGATTTGTGGTGGTGTTTGGCTTGATGGGAGTGCTTGTGTGATGGTATTGTGAGATGGAGAGATGGGAATTCTAGGAGGGAAATTCCCTTCCTTTATACCTATAAGAACAGATAGATACTTGCACGATGCAAAAATACCCAATATGGAAGTACGACTCATCACTGTAATGATCCAGTAACATGTAATCGTTCAATACATTATGCCCCAAAGTCACTATTCTAGACATAATCAGAATCAACGACATTAGCCTGTATAAAAAGAACATCTTCGTTGGCAGGGAAGCACATGCAACACGTTGGAACATCAGAGCAATTAACCATTCTTCACACAGCATTAACTTGACGAACCTTGGATTCTCATGTCAGAAAATAGTTCAAAAAGGTCAGTCAGGCTTCTATTGCATCAAATCATCGTGAGATCCATTAAAAACGGATGGCATATCTGGGAGTAACCGGTTGAAGATGGTGCTTATGACTCAATAGGGGATATCGGTGGGCGGTTAAATCATCAAGTAAATGCCGCTCGCACTTGTACAATGGAACATGGCGACTACGAACAGAAAACGAGCGACGTCGTGGACGAGGTAGACGCCAATCAATATATTTCAGCGCAAGACAGAAGACACATCTGCCATGCCTACTGGCTGGCAGATGTTACACAGTCATCGTGAGGTGAGGGAATCATGGTCCTCCCGATTCTTGCTTGAGACAGGGGGGTTGAACCAAGGTTAAAAGTGTATACAAATAATGCATATGGGTTCCGGCCCTTGATCGAATCGACGAGAAACAAGGAAACAAGGACACCACAGGCACATGATTGTTGAAAAGGCAAGAAAAAATATATAAACAAATATACGGGTCTGAATTTTTGTGAGTGTGTGAAATATCAACAATATCATAGGCGAATGTGAGACATGTGATAACGAGCGAACTATCTTTTATCGTGTTTGAAAACAATATGTATTCCACTCGCTTACTATCTAAATAGTCTAAAATGGATATGCCCAGCGCCCAACGCTAATGCTAAGATGCAAAATATCAGAAATATGGGTATCGTAACACGTAACGCAACGCCGTAAATGACAACAAAATACCGCAGGCTCCTCATCTTCTCGCTGGTAACGACAACATGCCATCTGGAAGCGCCTCAACCGCCCTGCCATCCTTCTCAGCCAGCAGTGCCTTGACCCTCTCAACTCTACTGACGGCTTTCTCCAGGCGATCCAACCGTCCCATCTTCTCTCTATCCCTACGCTCTAGCGTCTCGATCCGCTCCTCTAGCTTCGCTCTTGCCCGTCGCTCTTCAGCAACCATCTCGTTCGCCTGGCTAAACAGCTGCACGCTCAACTCCTCAATCTCCGTGTCGACCGTCTGCACGCGCGCCTCAGCTTTTGCACGAAGGGCCCGCTCCCGCTCGAGCTCGTTGATTAGCGCATGATCGTCCTTCGGCGGAGGTGGCGGAGGCATGGCTCCTGTGTTCGCCGGAGAAGGGAAGCGGTTTGTGATGAAGGAAAAGCGCGAAGCCCTTGTCGAGTTTGCGGTGTTGGGACGTGGGGGATCGGCGTCCACGGAGGGGCGCGGTAGGGCGCCGTTGAAAGGCTTGTCGGATTGCGAGGTTTGTGAACGCAGTGGGCTGGGAGCCCGCTGGCTGTCTTTCAGAACGCGTATTTGGTCCTCGTAATCCGCACATCTATCGACTGAATGCCTGTTAGTCTATGTATGTAGAGTTGTAGGTAGTGCCTGTTCGGCGCATCTTTAGGCACGTACCAGCTGCAGTGGCCTTCTCCTTTAGTCGTTCCATCTGCGCTTCCAGTTCCTCTATCTTTCGCCTTGCTTCTTCGAGCTCTTTCGTATTCAAGCTATAGCCACATGACGGACAGTTGTGCGTATGGGTATCGTTTGCGGTTTCTTTGGCAGGTTGTGGCGACGCGGGCGGGGAGACTTCGAGGGCTGCTGCCATGATACCAGGCGCGCGAGGTAGGAATTAGGTTTGGCGGTGTTTTTGGTTGACAGCTTCGCGGCAGGTGGACAGAATATAAGGAGGGAGTGGGGTATGTCCTGTCGCGTGGTTGTTGCAAAGGACCCTTGTGGTTTCAGCGTCAGCGTGATCATCGAACCCCTGTCACCCATGGCCAATGCAGGGTCCCCCCGCGCTAAATCCATTTACGGTCTGGGTGGCTCGGCCCGCGGGGACTATCCCAGGCGTCATACGCACTTTAATCGAGCTACAAGTGAATACACAGCACCCACCATTTGTAAAGAGAGTGATCCTTATGTGTTCTGTTTCTCTCTACTTCATATTTTCCAATTTGAAAGAGTTCACCGTCCTCGGTCCGATCTAAATACGAATCTATGAACCATACAGCCGGGAAGCTAAATTTAGATGAAGCTTCTTAGGCGCCAAACTTCTAAGCAAACCTAAGAGAGCCATTCATCTTTACAGTTAGCCGCTGGTTATTTCTACATTTCATGCCTTAACGTATCGAGATGGCTTCAAACTATACGTTACGCGAATGTAGCCTTGTTCACTTCTTTTCGTTCCCGAAGCTTTGTCCGATCTCTTGCTGGATGCGCCTCCCCATTCTTTGAAACCTGCCAGAAGATCACGCTAAACACGCCCTTACCCATATTTCTCTACTTCAAACCATGCGCCAAGCTACCCAAGACTAAATTCTGCAAATGCAGCGGCTTCGTGTGCCAGGCAGATTTGGTGGTTTTCTTGATCTCAATATTGAGTCTTCGTATGTTTGCAATGACACTGTTTACTTCAAATTGTTTCAGGAGCTCCTAAATTCCCAGATAAGCAGTCAATTTGGCTTCTCTTTAAAAGTATAGCCGAGTAATGAATCTACCACACTACGCTCGAATATATGGTTTCAACAAGGCCTTCTTTCGTGGAGTATGTAAAACTCATGCTCTGATTGAATTAACCAGTTCTAAGCACGGAAGAACAGCAAAAGAGACGTCGCATGAATAACGACTTGGCTATCTTCTGAAGTTCCTGCTCATCACGAGATAAGTGTTGACTAAGCTTAAGCAGCATACTTGATACGTTAAGAGGCGATTCAGTTTGGGAGAAAAACATTATTTCTCAATTCTTTATCTTGATATGGGTATTCAAGCTAAGTTTTCCTTAATCATGATCCTTATGGATACGATCTGCTATCTGTGTGCCGGGGTGTTCATCAATGCACACCCCGTGCGAGATCGTCCTTATTATCTCGTCGTTCTCAAGCTGCTCGGCCTCCTTCAGTATATACTTATCGCTGTCGCGATCATCGTAGTTTTTCGACCGCGTTCGCTCGCGCGTGGGCTTACTACCAGTTGTAAATTGCTTACTGATACTGAACATAGGTAGGCCATTGTTATAGGGACAATTATCCGGGTCGGTAACTAGGAAGGAGGAAGGTAGTATGCGATCGAGCATGGAGTCAATTGGTTTTCCCAGAGGTGGCAAAGATGCAACGAGCACACCAACTGAGAGCTCACACGCTGACCATATGTTCAGGTTACTGCCCTCCCAGGTTGGATCGCGTGTCTTCTTCAAAGCAGACATTTCAATCGTCTCAGCTATTGAGCACGCTGTTGCACTGTCCATAAGTCAGATCATTTGATCCTATGAAAAATACCCGTAGACTCACATCGAACCTAAACAGAAGACAATTCGAAGCCTCCATTTCGCGCGTTTGCGTAGCTGGAGGGTCGATAAATATGCAATTGGTGCAGCGATGTAAACGAGGTCAGTGACGCAATTCGAGACACCCTAGTGCGGTATGAGTGAGGTATAATCAGCAAGACAAGGGCTTTCGACGAACCTGAGTATACATGATGGTTTCGTTTGGCGTCATGAAACATTTTGATTTCACACTCTTGTTCCAGTTTGCTTCGAAAGGTGTCTGGCAGAACATACCCATGACGGGAAGGACAAAGTTCAGAGTCGTGACCATGAGAACTGAGGCCCACACTATTGCGAGATAAACTCGTGAGAATCTCATCAGAAGAAGATATGAACAAATGGAATACTTGAGTATCGCAACAGCTATTATGTTGATCGTTTGACCAATCCAGAGGTAATAGCTGTACTGGAGGATATCATAGGGCTTCCTGATGCTAGGATCCATGATATGACGACCTTGGCCATGGAAGCATGTTCTGTATCTGACTCCTGTTGCCACAATGCTGAGTATCTAGAACGCGTACCAGTTAAATCACGAGTCTATGGGTAAATAAAAAGACTAACCGCTGCAATAGTCATGAGACAGTCACTAAGACTGAGTTTACGACTACATCTGATGGTGTAGCTGATTCTCCATGCGAGCACTAGAGTACTCAACACACACAAGATGGTTGTGGGGACTAGTATGTTCGGGGCTCGGTCTGGCCAGTGCTTTTGTTGTGGTTCTGACATAGTAGGCAGATATGATAGATGTGTCGTTGCATCAAGAGGATAAATTCAATATCGAAACGCGATATGGGAAAACGTTCGGCACAACATAGCGTACGATGAGCTCCAGGACACCGGGAACTCTCTAGCAACGTTTGTTGGACAGGCACAACTCATTGAAATCCATGAAGTAATGACTCGCAGTGCAGGATTATACCAACCTTCCAACCCATTTGGCGCCCAGTTCCCCCCTCTCGCGCTTAGCTAGCGTGCGGCTCAGCAGATCGACTATCTTCCGTTTCCCGCTTTCGCGCCTTCCCGCTGATAAAACCGCACCAATATCAGGCCTTCGCGATGTGTTGGTTGATGTTTGCTGCCTGGTCTCCACGTAATCTCCATCTCGGTTACTGTAGCACAGAAGAAATCTCCTGTTGCAGATATACTACTCAACTATCCTTGTTATATTCGTTAAGCACTAGGACGCAGAGCAAACCCTGTAGGTGCAGTATGGCTAGCCTATATACCCCCCTTGCTATGCCTTATATCTATCTCTTTCCGAGTGTCAAATATGACGAGTCTCTGCATTCTCACGGTGTAATAAGAATTGCCATCGGATAGAATGAAGGCCATGAAACCTAACTTGGCAGATAGAAATTGACGGACATAACATGAACGTAATGGGTAGGACGGGATTTACTAGCGAGCTAGATCGGCATTGCGAAGGCAGTGCACCCAACAGCTCGGGAATCACAACACATTTGCTGCAAATGCGATGTTGGTTCACTCTCTTGGCAGTTACACCGACCCTCTCCAGTATCGTTCCATTCTTGATTAACTAGTGTTTTTTTCGGCCTCTGGTGAATGTGTTCTGGAAAAATTGTGTTCATCTTAGTCTTTCTTCGTTCTGTCGACAGCCGAGCGCTACGTAAATGAGTGCAGGCTCATTTTGCTGCGCGGAAGTCATCATCCGGACGCCATTACAGTTCGAAGGAGCTAGTTTTTAGTGAGGAGTCACCTGATCTGTGCTCTCATCTTCCTTAACTAAAACACTACCTTTTTGTCGCAGAATTATTATAAGAAACTAGAAAACCTGAGAGGTGACCAAATCGGTTAACTTTTGATTAGCACGATCTCTTTTAAACGATTCCATTACCTCTTTGTCTCGCTGTTTTGCTGTTTTGGGCGCACTCAGTCTGGAGTGGGTGCATGGGCCATACGATTCTTCACTCGAAACGAACTTCTTCGTATCTAGGGAAATTACTGCAAATCCTTCCGCTTGCGACATGTGACAGGTCTGGGTGCGCCGCATACACGACCAGCGAATCATCGTCATGCAGAGTCAGGTGTGGGGGTTGCCAAGACCCGTTGTCCCGTCCCATTCATCTCCTCATCGCGCATTCCGTACTAATGATCTTCGTTCGTCTCGAACAAGAACTGCTAACCATGGAAGAACATGAAAGAGGAAAACACGGCCGATACGAGCTGAAACAATGGCGTTGAGGGATTGACGGTAGAATTGTAGCCCAGCTGTGGACCCTCAAGCCCTGCAACGACTTTGCCGCAATATGGATATGTAAGTCGGCCAGGTCGTACCGTCCCAATCCCTCAAGTCGTGGCGCAATATGTGACTGCGCTCAACTGCAGCAAAGATATGACGTGTGGCAAATGCCATGACAACTTTCAATTGTTGACATGCATAGCTACAATCCGGCAGTTTTCTGGTAGCTACTTCGAAATGTACAGTCCTTGCAACCGAGTGATGGAATGATGGGTGGGTGGTGTAGCGTAGGCAAGTTATAGCTCGCGTCTATCAAGGCTGGTTTGTCAACCTAACTTTCCTGTCATACTAGTATTGGGTGCTCTTCCTCTCGACATCGCGACTGATCCACATGTTTCATCTGAGGAGCAAAACAGGCGTGCTACCACGAAGGCGTTGAACTAGTCAAAATCGGTTGGCCCCAAGGGCCGTTCTTCAGCTAGATCTCGGGCGAGATATGCATGTAGGAACGCGTTGCCACGCGCTAAGATTCACATGGCTAGTTCACAAATCCCATCTACCACGTGCTCGGTGACTTAATACTACCGATGCTAATCAGGATGCAAACCCGACTCATGTTTCAATACCAAATTTATGCACGTACATATACCGACATGAGACTAGAGATTGCGAAGGAAGCCCGTGTAACGAGTTAAAGAGTCTTTACGAATCCGCTTCTCGATACCTTGTCAATTCCTCCATGACTCTTCGCAGGTCTTCCCCTAAAGGTACAATTTAGACCATCTGGAAGAGATGCATTCCTTCAAGATCATAACAGTCGCTGCTCTGCTCGGGCTTTCAACGGCCCGAGAGACCTACGACTACGTTATCGTCGGAGGCGGCATTTCTGGCTTAGTTGTTGCCAACCGCCTTTCCGAAAATAATAAGAGTGAGATTAAGATATTCAGATACTTGAACAAAGCTAATTTTGTGAACTTTAGAGACGGTCCTAGTCATAGAAGCCGGCGGCGCAGATGACAATCCAAATATTCGCATTCCCCGTGGCGCCACTTATGCACTCAATGAGTCTCTTCTATGGCCCGACTATGTATCCCAACCCGAGCCATTTCTCGGAAACAATTCATGGAAGGCTCGTGTAGCGCACGTTCTGGGTGGGGGCTCTATTGTAAACGGAATGATGTATGACCGTGGGTCTGCTGCCGACTACGATGCTTGGGAGGCATTGGGTAACAAGGGTTGGGGCTGGAAAGGGTTGTTACCATTCTTCAAGAAAGGAACTGAATTCATCCCCCCGCCGGCGGAGACTATTAAGAAGTTTGGGATTACTTGGAATCCTGAAGCGTAAGACACCATATATCATTTGAACTTGAACTACTTCTAACCCGGCCAATGCCCAGTTACGGAACCGGTCCATTGAAACTCGGAATCTCGGACACACAGTACTCCGATATCCTCGATTACTTCAAGGCGTTTGAAGGTACTGGTCGTGCACATAAGGCTCTTGATGCCAACAACGGGGAGGCCTACGGTACATCATGGTACTCAAACACGATGAACCCGAAACTTGGCGAAAGATCGCATGCTCGAAACGCCTACTATGAACCTGTCATGAGCCGTACGAACTTGAAGGTTGTGCTGGGGACTACTGCGACTGAGCTAGAGTTCTATGACGGTGAGAAGCTCGAGGCGAAGGGCGTCAAAACCATCGAGACGAAGACCGGCTCATCTAAAACCTACTACGCAAGGAAGGAGGTTATCCTGGCCGCTGGTGCAATCAACACACCCAAATTTCTTCAAGCCAGTGGTATTGGACCAAAGTCCGTTCTAGAAGCTGCTGGAATCTCCGTGCGGCTTGAACATGATGGTGTTGGTGCAAACTTCCAAGACCATCCTTACACCAGTATTGCGTTCAACATCACAAACATCAGCACACCAAACGGGGGATCCTTAGACACGGATCCAGCATACAATGCCTCTGCCTGGAAACAGTACTTTGCAAACAAAACTGGACCCATTACCATAGCTCGTGGCAACGCGCTAGCCATGATACCACTCCCTGTTGTCGACCCCGAAAACTATGGCAGTATTGCGGACCGGGTACTGGGACTGAAGGATGACGCTTACCTGCCTGCCATCTACAAGAACAGCAAAAAGCTACTCAATGGCGTAAAGGCACAGCGCAAAGTTCTTGCAGATATTTTCCGAAACAACAAAGCTGCCGTCGTAGAGCTCCCCATACCAGATGCCGGTGCATTCATGCTTGTTGGCTTGGAGAAGCCAGTATCACGCGGCAGTATTACGATCAACCCCAAGAACCCACAAGGACCGCCACAGGTCTTCTGGAACACGCTCAGCAATCCGATTGACAAAACCCTCTTTGGCGCGTCGATTCGCTATCTCCGTAAGGTCTGGGCGGGCCCAGAACTAGCAAAGTACACGCCAGTTGAAACGTCCCCTGGCGCACAATACAAAACTGATGATGAGATTGTTGACAATTTGGTCGGAAAGAACGCCATCCTACCTTCATTGGCACACCCTTCTTGCAGTTGCCCTATGATGCCGGAAGATATGGGTGGTTGCGTGTCGAACGAACTTGCCTTTTACGGGGTCAAGCATCTGTCCATTGTGGACGCCTCCATCATGCCTCTGATTCCCTCACAGCATCTCCAAGCGACTGTGTATGCTGTCGCTGAGAAGGCTGCTGACATCATCATCAACAGGGGCTAAGATGATGTAGTCAGTTTTCTGGACATTCATTGTATATATGTAGAAAGAGACAGCTTAGTAAACAAAGTGTTGTATAAGCAACAGGCTCCCAAATATAGATTTGTTACCTGTACGTACGCGTTATCGTATTCCACTTGTGGATTTGGCGTCCTCTCTCGTTCGGCCAATGCTTTTCATCATCATCAAAAGCCATGTGATGGTGTTCTTAGTAAGAACATATACTAATGAGCCCCAGTCTAGGGAAAGAGCCCGAAGCAGTAGGCGCGCTAGCCTAGTGCGTGACGTCTTGGTAACCCAACTTCCACTCATTCTCTCGGGTCACCTCCACGCTAATCCTCCATCACTCTTATCTCTATTCATCTGCTTACATGTATGCAATTAGCTCACCTCAAACATCAGCATCGTTGGCTGTCGTCTTCACATTTATCTATTGCAACATCCGGATGGCGTCCTACCCCTCGCTGTAGCTTCCCCAACGGCGGAAGGTGGCCCTTTTCGGCGTTTTCGGCTTTGATGCTCTCACAGATCTTAGGGCTGATGCTGCTCATGCCAACAAATGTTTCATGAAGCGATCAAGACAGATTAATTATTCCAGGCATACTTGATAATTACAGAAATTAGCCCCGCGCTAGGTTGGTTCCGCTTCCAGTATCCCACTTTTCTCCGCGTATGGGAGATGAGGGGAAGGCTCCGTGCGCCTTTACTCACTTTCGGGCAATGGAGGCGATATTAATTAATTGCAGAGATTTAGGATCAGCCCTGTACATGCGTCCGTGAGTATCGCATCTTTTCCAATTTG